CTGTTGTCACGGTCACCGCTGACCTCCATCTCGGCGGGCCCGCCTGTCAGCAGTCAGTCAGCTGACTGGATGACCTACCAGCGCCATTCGATACGGTCGATCGCTCCTCCTGGGAGTGCTTGACTCCCGAGGTGCCCTCCTGCCTGCGGGGCGCCCTGCATCGCCGTCTGCAGTCAGTGCCCGGTGCACGTGGGGTGCACTGATCCCCCACTGCGCCACCATTCTCAAGCACTCCAGACCTGGGTCGCAGCTCCCTGCTTGATGGTGCCTCTCGAATGTCCGATACTATCTCGAATCGAGCATGTCCAAAACTGGACTTTAAGTCCTCCCTTCAAAACGCGTTCTTCCCAGTCACTCTCTTCTCAGAAGATGGTGGGTCCACCCTTCACTCGCTGCTGCCAGCGTCCTTGGAGGCGTCCCGGCCTCCCTCTCTCAGATCTGCTCAGCCCGTCTCCTGTCACCCTGCTGCCACGCTCGCCCGGAGCCCACCTGCTCACGCTCCCTTCCTGCAGCAGCTGCAGGTGTCCCCGCCTCAGCCTCCCCTCTGCCTGGCTCTTCTGGGCACAGCACCCGGGGACAGCAGGTGGCACCTGGCGTGTATCGGACACTTGGGTTTGGTCTTGAGAGTTTTCCTGGTTTCCATCTCCCCAACATCGGTCCTTATTTGGACCCCTTTCCTCCCTGGGGTTCTTGCTGTGGACTCAGAGTAGCTTCCGCTCCCCGCTCCTGCAGTCCAGCGTCGGTGCACCCCTGGGCCTGTGCCCCCAGATCCCCACAAGCCTGCCCCTGTGCCAAGCGCTGCCTGGGCTGGGGCCGTGTGTCTTCCGCGCTCGCAGAGCCGCCAGGCCGGGCTCCAGCCCCACAGTTGCTCCGCAGTGGGACAGCGCCTTCGTCCTTGTGCGAGTGGCTCTCACTGACCGGGCAGCCGGCCCCTCCTCACTCAGCTCAGCTGCCATCTCCTTCGTGGTCCATCCTGGGTGGCTTCCGCCCTGCTCCATGGGAGCGCCTGGGGACGCGCCAGACCACAGCTCTGGTGCGGCTGGTCTCCTTGTGCAGCTGTTTCCTGGAAGAATTGTGACTTCGTCGGGATGGCTCACAGACTCAGGCTGTGACACCTCTCTTTTCCAAACACAGCAGCGAAAGGATAACATTTAAACAAATCAACCAAAAGTACAGCCAGGCCCCCAGGAGAGAGAAAGGCACACCCTGCCATACAGAGGACAAACCTGGTACGCGTGTGTCGCCCGGGTTCCCCGGGCTCCTGAGCGCCAGGCTGCAAGCCGGCGGCGGCAGGAGGGAGCTCGGCTCCCGCGTTAGGGCGGTGGGGACGAACGTGTTCAGCGGAATTGCAGCCAGATGCTGACTCACCTTTCAAAGCTGGCGTGAGGTGAGCTTCCCCCGTCTCAGGCCACTATCCCCTATACGTTGGGGCTTTATAGGAAGCGTGGGCCTGGGGGGCAGTTCCGGGGATGTGTCACTGTCCGACTGGGATGGAGCCAGGCAGCAGGAACTGTAAGTCTCTGAGGAAACCTGGTTCTGGCCTGAGGCCGTGGGGGGCTTGCAGGGGCAACTGTGGGACACTAGGAGGGCCGAGAGCGCCAACAGCAGGACCTCGTCAAGAGCGGGGACCCAGGTCCCCGTGACATGAAGCTGCCTTGTACCGCGCCACCCTCGAGCCGACTCCGTCCGCACAGCACACCGCCGTCTGCAGCCTGTGCACCGGCTGGGAAAACTGCCCAAGTACGTGCGCTTAAAGAGGCAGGCACTCACCAGACGAAAGCAGACGAAGGCCACGAGGGCTGGAAGGCACGACAGAAAAACAGTTTGAAATCCAGTTAATGAAAAAGATACGGGCCAGAATGATGAGCTTTGGACTGCACGTAATCAACGACAGAATTAGTGAATTGGCAGTTCCTTTATAAAATTGGCCCTGAGTGCAGCACAAGGGGGACAGAGGGATCAAAGAAAGCTTCAAGGCCCTGAGTCCAGGCGGGCCTGGAGCCAGCCCGCCCTCAGGCTGACCGGCCCTGAGTCACACCGCCTCTTCACCTGGGCTGGTTGGACTCACATTTTCTTTCACCAGCCACAGACAGAGCATTTCCTAATACAAGATCTCAATAATTAGATGAAAATCTGTCATTCACGTGAGGTGTTAGAGGGTCTAACGGTCAGCCACAGTTACTTAGCAGAGGAGATGTAAACTAGAGCTTCAGTGCAGTCGATACTGTCACGCGTGGAAGAAGCCTCTGAAACTCTGGAAGGAAGGTGAACCGGATGGAGAACGAGGGCAGGAGACGTGCCCGCTGGGCCCCCCCAACCTCCACGACGCCGCTTCTGCGCGCTGCCCACTGGCCTCTGAAGATGTTCCAGCACAGCGCAGAGCCGTCGCCAGGCTCCGAGACACGCGGCGTCATTTCTGCTAGTGCTGCTGGAATCCAGTGTTGCAGGTCTGTGCCGAGACGCCGGCACAGACCCTTCAGCTCACATTGTGCTCTCAGGAGCAGCGTGTGTGCGTGTGTACGTGCGTGAGCACGTGTGCTTACATTCCAGTCCAGTCCAGTCCAGTCGACCAGGAACAGCGCGGGACTGCGGGGTGCTGCCCTCCCTCACAGCTGGAACCTGCAGTCGGCCCTCATGTCAGCGGGTCCCACTGTGGAGCAGACCCCCACACAGCACGGGCTGGACGGCTCGGGTCGTTTGACGTGGACGCAGCCCCGCGCGGCTCCCCCCGTGCTGTTCAGGGTCAGCTGCACGCATAACGTGACAGTCACTCCTTTAGCCAGTTTATTGAGACCGGATGATTTCAGGGAGCCTTGGACGTTGCTCCCCAGGGAGGTGCAGCTTAGGGCATGCCCGCAGTTACCCTGGGTGGCGGTGTCACTGGTAAGGCTCTCGCCCACTCCTTCCCTGACCTCGCCCAGCTGTTAAAGCCCGCTGATGGCCCACCGGTCTCTCTGTCCTCGCCGGTCTCCGGTGTTCGTTCTGGCCCTGGGAGGTCCCTGCCACCGCGTCTCCGCTCCCGTCCCGCAGGCTCAGGGCCTGCCAGCCGCTCCGCATCCCTGTCCTCAATTCTCCCGTTGACATTCACCGCAGCCCTCACTGGTCTGGGGCACGCCCTTGGGTTCCAGTCCCCTGTGAAGTCGGCCCCTTTGGAGAGGGAGGGGGAGCGGTCTCCTTACTGCCTGCTCCCCCATCTCTGAGCCAGGGCTCTAGAGCTGGGATGGGGACAGTGGCAGGCCCCTCTGAGTGGCACCTCTGCTCTGGGAGCCGAGCACTTGGGGCTGGGCCACCACCTCGGAGAGCAGGCCGAGAGAGGTCGGGCCCCCAGTTCTCAGCACCTGCACCCGTGGTCCGAGTCCCTGTCTGGTGGGGTTGGGCTACCCAGCGAACGCCACCTCTCCACCACACTGCCCTCTGCGCCCGCAGGCGGGGCCCAGGTGGGATGTGCCGCTGTCCTCCTCCAGAAGAACAACTCCGGCCGGGTTCTTGGTGCAGCCTCAGGAGTAGGACCCCCACCTGAGCTGGGGTGGGGTGGCGGGGAGCAGCCTTGGTTCAGACACACGGACTTGCCCTCCTCACATGACCTTCGTGGATCTCTTCGAGTAGATGTTTCTTCATTTGTCCTTTGCCCTTAGGACGGTCAGAGGCTTTGTGGTTTTTAAAAATATAACTGTCAACGGTTTCACTGGGGAGCAGGTTAGTTGAGCTCTTCATGCTGGAAGCTGGAAAGTGATCACAGTTGTAGGTTCTTGAAGAAGAAATATCGGTTGAGAAGAGAAATTAGATAAATAATGACCACTGGCTTACTGTATTCGTGACAGTGTTCACGGATGTCCTTCACGATCTCTGTAAATTATCTGCCTCCCCACCCCCTCACTTTGCTCCCCAAAATAAGGGTGTTCAAGAAAAAGTATTTGCATTTTACTCTTTTCCACCGTTGAACGTAACGGTGCTGTGGCCTCTTAGTCACCCGCAGCACAGCGCTCAGTGCAGCGCTGCAGGTCCTGGCTTTTTGGGCCTGCCCCGGGGGGGCGGAGTCTGACGTGCGGTGTCCTGGGGCGGAGCTGGCTTCGCCTTGTAGAGGATTACTTTATGGGCGGACTTTAATACACCACCTGTTTGTAAATTGATTTTCTAGAATTATCGGTATCAACCACTTTTCTTGTTTTGAATGTCAGATTGATTATTACGTGAACTTTATCCCTTCCTTTGTTCTTTAAAAACATCAAATACAGTGAAACATTGGCAGATAATTATCTCAGAGGAGTTTTGCTCCATTGAAAACCGACAGGATGTGGGAGGGCAGGTCCGTTTCTTTTGACCGGCTTATCGTCGTGTCCCTAAGGGCGCTCGAGTTGCAGTTAGAGCTGACCCACAGCGGGGCCAAGGAGGACCCCTGGCGTCCCTCTTCCCAGTGCTGCCCTCCAGAACTTTCCTACTTGGCCAGAGAAATAGGTCTTCTCAAACTTTCCTTACCTACAAAGGCTTGCCAGCATTTGTGAAAAGACCGTTTTATGTAGTTGATTTTGAGTAAGTCTCGGGCTAACAGACAGGTTGGCCTTGGGGTGCCGTCAGCCTCCTTCTGGGGGGCCCTCCCCCAGGAGAATCAGCTTTGGAGAGGAGGTAGAGTTCAGGGGCTGTGGCCTTCTAGGCCTTTTTGAATTTACTTTCCTCGGTGGTTCTAGGTCACGTGTCTGCTAGTCACATAGAAATGTCTGTGCCCGTTTGGTGTCAGGCTCCACGTTCAGAACGACATCTGGAACTTGAGAAGGTGGCCCGCGCTGTGCCGGGGCTTGGCTGGAGCGAGGCAGGCGGTCTGAGTCAAGGTGGCCCGTGTGGCCTTGGCCTGGAGGCTCAAACCCTTCGTATGGAGTGTCACAGAGGTCCCTTCTGCCCTGCACCCGGGGTCGCCCCTGTGTGGGGGCTGGCGAAGCTTGGCGGGAGTCTGTCCTAAAGCATCTCTCCCCCCACCTTCTCTCTCTCTCTCTCCTGTTTTCTAGGAGTTCGCAGCACTTACTAAAGAACTCAACGTATGCAGGGAACAGCTCCTTGAAAGGGAAGAAGAAATTGCCGAACTCAAAGCAGAAAGAAACAACACCAGGGTTAGTGGGTGGATTCTTGTTTGCACATTTGCCTCTGGGTCACTACTGGGACCAACGTCAGATGTTTAAACCCGGAAGACAGTCCGCTCTGTCTGGTCTTAAACACGTTGTCAGCATTTCCTCTCCGACTTGACTGATCAGTTTAGTGTTCCCGTGCCTTGCTGGGAATTTACGATGAGAATGAATGATATCTTATACATTTGAGGGGGATTTCTCTAACTTTAGACTGAATCGAAGGGAGTTAAACTTCTTTTACTATGAGTCAAGGGCAGTTATTTGCCCCGAATTCAGACGCGAAATCGGAAGTGTCCTTTACCCGTGCTTGCGTTTGGGCTTTGTCTTCCAGCTGCTGTTGGAACATTTGGAATGCCTTGTCTCCAGGCATGAGAGGTCCCTGAGGATGACAGTGGTGAAGAGGCAAGCGCAGTCCCCAGCAGGTGTGTCCAGCGAAGTGGAAGTACTTAAAGCACTGAAATCATTGTTCGAGCACCACAAAGCTCTGGACGAAAAGGTACCGTCAGCCGCAGTCGCTCCCGGTTTGAACACGTGCCGTGGCGTTAGGTGGGCGTCGTGTGTGTCTGTGCAGCCTTAGCAGCTCCTCGAACTCTTATAAGCACATTTTCCTGTGAGAAGCAGAGTTCTTTCTGTGTAGTTAAAAGCGTTAGGTGGCATCAGTGTTTTAAAATGTATTATATGCTGTATATTGATTTGTTATTAAGAGTTGGGTAATGTAATTTATTTGGGGGAAGATTTTTCTCAAACTTAAAATTTAAAGCTGTTAACAAGCACGTTTCCTTGACATTGATGTCAAGGAGAGGCGTGGAGGTGTCCCATCACGTCACATCACACCAGTGGTGTCTGGGGTGGCCGTACGTTAGGAATTTGGTGGATGCACAAACTCAGCTCTTTTTGCTTTCAGGTGAGAGAGCGGTTACGAGTAGCACTTGAAAGGTGTAGTTTGTTAGAAGAAGAATTAGGTGCCACACACAAAGAGGTAAGCTTGATGAATCATCGCGAGGTTTAAATTGAGCGTTTTACATTTTATCCCTTGATTTTAAAAAAAATATATGCAGACTATAGTGGTGGATATCAGATGTTCTTGGTCTTTCTGATGGAGGACCAGCTAACCCCTCTGGACCATTTTAATGACCAGTAAACTAGCCTTATGTTTCAGAATTGCAGAATCTCTTAAGTACCCATTTTTCCAGTAGATGATAAATCCGATTTTAGTAACTGCTTATATTCATATATTTTCTTTTTATAGTATGTTTACGATTGTGTTACGTAAAAGTTTTGCTGCCTTGACTTATTTCTTTACTCTCATATTCGATTTTTTTGGTTTTAGCTAATGATTCTTAAAGAACAGAATAATCAGAAAAAAACACTGACAGATGGGGTGCTCGACGTAAACCACGAGCAGGAAAATACGCCGAGCACAAATGGAAAGGCAAGTCCCCTGGCTCGGCCTTTCCCTGCGCGGCCGCCTGCGGTGCGAGCGCGGGGCCGTTGGGAGGGCTGTGCGGCCACAGCAATGCTCAGACGCTGCGCAGTCAGCAGATGCGGGGCTCGGTTTTGCTTCTGCCCATTTCCCAGAAGTACCTCGTTTGTCTCCGCGTTCAGCAAACAAGGCTGTTTATAGTGCTTTCCCCCAACAGAGATCTTCCGATGGTTCTTTAAGCCACGAGGAAGACCTCGCCAAAGTCATCGAGCTGCAGGAAATCATCGACAAGCAGGCACGGGAGCAGAGCCAGATGAAGGAGCGTCTGGCCGCCCTCTCCAGTCACGTGACAGAGCTGGAAGAGGACCTGGACACCGCGAGGAAAGATCTCATCAAATCTGAGGACGTGAACACAAAACTGCAGCGAGATGTTCGTGAAGTGAGTGAGGGTAGAGACTGCAGTAGTGCCATTGACTTGACTGTGTGGCATGTGTCGGTTCGATCGCTTTGTTCCTTTTGTCCCTAACTCTCCCAGTTGCTCTCAACTTCCGGATTACTGTCTAAGGGATAGCAGAACGGGCGTGAGGCCGCCCTCCAGCCGACTGCTGTGTGACTGCGTGCTGCCTGCCCTGTGGGTTCCTTGTTTCTGCAAGTCGTCAGCCGTCTGAACTTATTTTCCTTATGCTCAGATTTCCTTCCGATGCACACTTAAGCAAGGGGATGTTGACATCTGTTGTGCCGCTAGTTCACTTCACGTGACGTGAGCATCGTCGATTGTCCCTGTGCAGGGAGCGCGCGTGACTGGCGGCCTAGTCCTCTGACGTCCTCCTCCTCGGAGGGGCAGTGAGAGCGGAATGCGCACGTGGGCCGTCGGGGTCACGCTGTGCTCACCTGCGGGAGCATGCGCATTTCTGGCAGATGGTTCCGTAGTGGAAGAAGTTGTGGCAAACTGTGTCATCCTCACTATAAAAACCAGTGAGGAGGGCTGGGTACTTTCTCTGGCACCTCCCCCATCACTTTAAGCTGTCCATTGTCAACAAAACAAAATACCCGCCTTGCCCCTTCTCCATGAGACCGCCTCAGAGCGAGCCTCTCAGGAGGACCCGGGAGACCCCGCAGACTAGTGACCACGGCGGGATGGGCGCACTTGCTGTTCAGTGGCTCCTGGGGGTGGTTTTATGTAAGCATTCAAAACAAAGGAAAGTATTTGCACATGTTGTATAATCTGTTTAATTAGTTATATTATTCTTTGGCAATAGGAGATTATTTATGTGGCAGAATTTTAACGTGCAGAGAAGTTTTGAAATTTTTTAAGTCCTGTCACTTCCGATATTAAGATTTTGCTAACGTTAGTTACTTAGTAAACAGGTTGGGACCTAAAATGAATTTCCGTAGTGGGGACAGGAATTGCACTAGCAGAGAGTGCTGGCCTTAGGTTCAGTGTTTAATACTACGTGATAGAAGTTTTCTACAGAATTCGGCTTTAGAAAGGTGTATCCAATTAAATTAAACTTTGCTCTCTCTTCCATTCATTGATAACATAGCTTTAATTTTGTGTTAATTGGTTGAGATTGCACCCAGTTTCACCCAGGGAAATGGCACTCTGTTTCACTGTTGTGCCTCGAGGGGCCACACCTGTCCTGTGGGAACCCTCTTGTATCATGAGGCGAACAGAGGTTGCGTCTTCGTTGCAGATACCCTCACCTCCTGGAATTCTTGAATATCAGAATATTTTATTGTACATGTTTTTCGATATGTAGAAAAGGATAAGCTTGGTTAACTGAGTAGCCATGATATTGACAGGTGAGTCTTTGCTGATATTTAGGTGGATATTTATGGGTATGTGAGTCAGTCACGTTTTCATTTGTAGTGGAGAAAATTGGCATCTCTGTTAGATTAATTTTGGGGATGCTAATTTTATATTTGACTTGAAAATTAGGATTTAGTCCAGTTTTTTCCTTTCATAAATATATTGTGTTCCATATTATTTACCTTATTTCCCTCTGATGTACCTGTTGTAGGCCATGGCCCAAAAGGAAGACATGGAAGAGAGAATCACTACTCTTGAGAAACGCTACCTCGCAGCACAGCGTGAAGCCACCTCTGTGCACGACCTTAACGATAAACTTGAAAACGAAATCGCAAATAAAGATTCTATGCATCGACAGGTAGTGGTTCTTGTGGAACTCGTCAGGCTTTTACTAATTAATTACTAATGAAATTAAAGACCTTTTTCCTGTGACTTTCATGTTGGAACTCAAGTCCAAAATTTTTATGATCTTTAGACTATGTTTAAAAGTATGTGTTAACATCAATTAACAAGTTTTAATTACGTAGGATTTTATATAACCATTTTATGGAGCTATATTCCTTGATTTTTTTCATTTGTTTGAATTGAATATTAATTTGTTGCTTATTAGCATTATTACCGAAGGAGCCGGGAGTCGCAGAGAACTTCAGGGCAGTGGGCTGCCTGTTAGTGGCTGGGGTCGGTGTGATGGCGGCGGGTTCGGAGATGCAGTCTGCGGGGGCGTCTGTGCCTCCTGTGGTTGGGTGGCTGCCATCCCTGCCCTGTTTCTCTGCAGTCTCAGATAATCAAGAGTAAAGCAGAAAAACCAAATTCAGCTTCTTGAAAATAAAGTGAGTTTTTCTGTTATGTTACAGAGTGTATCATTAGGCCCAAAATAAAAATAAAAAAGCAAAACGCTAGGAAGCTGTCACGAATCATATCGTGGCATGCTGCCTTAGGAGCACCTGCAATGGTCACAGTGATGGCTTCAAAGGCAGATCACCAAATACGCTCACGGCATTGTCTCGGGGCTTTAAAGCACAATGCGCTGTCGTATATGTACGTGTAGACACATGCACAGAACAGAGAAGAAAGCCGTGTATAAAATGCTAACCTCTCGTGAACCTGAACTTAGAGGATTTCTAAAGTTTTTCCTTTTGCTTAAATTTTCTACACTGAAATTTTTTTAGAGTAAGATTTTTTTAAAAGAGTCGTACACTTAGAGAAATAACTTGGATGGCCTTTCACGGGGTGTCCTCCTGGGAGGTGTGCGTTGCAGAGGTGACGAGGGCGCGTGCCGGCTCTCACTCGGCAGTCTGCCCTGAGCCATGCTGCCGGGTAGCCGCTGATTGCCTTGCCGGTTGGTACCGGACCCTTCCTTCACTTGTCAGTGAGAATGAGCAGCCTCCTGCAGAAAAGGGTTTTCTTTCACGTATAGGAACCTTTCTGTAGGGGGAACTTCTTTAAAGATACTCAGGAAAAGCAGTCACTTGGGCAGGAGGTGTTTTGCACGCCGACCTCAGGCCCAGGAGAGCAGGTGCGTCCTTGTAGGAAGAAGCGTTGCTCCAAGCGCCGCCAGACAGTCGGGCTTCCGGCAGAGCTGATGCCGATGTCTGCGTGCAGATCTGGTTCAATTGAAAGCGGAAGTGGCTAGGGGATGTGTTACAACACTTGGCTCTCTCCCCCTAGACTGAGGATAAAAACCGCCAGTTACAAGAACGCCTGGAGCTGGCAGAGCAGAAGCTGCAGCAGACTCTGCGCAAGGCCGAGACGCTGCCCGAGGTGGAGGCCGAGCTGGCCCAGCGGGTGGCCGCGCTCTCGAAGGTACTGCCCTGGGTGTTCTTCGGGGTTACACGTCGGGGCAGGGGCCCCGGGGGCCCTGCCGGTCAGGTTGAGAAGCAGCAAGTTGGGCGCCTGAGGCAGCCAGGAACCACTGTGGTTTCTTGCTGCTTCTCGGCCTGTCACCTGCTCTGTGCTGAGGCTGGGCGGGACTAGGGGTGGCTCCAGGGCCCCCCCCCGACTCTCCGCGCACCCCATTTCACTAGTGTGAGGAGAAGGCGCGACACCTGCAGGAGCTGCTGGAGGCGGCAGAGCGGAAGCTGCAGCAGACCACGCGCAGGGCCGAGACGCTGCCCGAGGTGGAGGCCGAGCTGGCCCAGCGGGTGGCCGCGCTCTCGAAGGTACTGCCCTGGGTGTTCTTCGGGGTTACACGTCGGGGTTGTGGCGGTCGTGGTGGTTTGTTCGTGGACCTTGTCAATCCTTGTTCTTGCATAGGTCTGTCAGATGTGTGCTGTTTGTCCCCAGTATGCTTCTTAGAGTTATGTCAGCAACTCAAAGCATAAGCTAGAAAGTTTGTGTAAAAGGATAGTTTTTCTCCGAAGTAGGAGAATTCTATTCTCTTTTCAAGACAAAAACATTTCAAAATAAGCAAATTTTAAAGTATAATTTATTCATTCATTTGAAAAAGATTGGCTAGCCCTGCGGCAGACGCAGGCCCACCCCCCGGCCCTCCCTGGATGATGCGACGGGTGCCGGGGGCACACGTCCACTCTGGGAGGGAGCACGGCCGGCCCAGGAGGGACTTAACCCTGCGGCGCCGGCGCTGGTCGGCCTCAGCCAGCAGAGGGGCGTGCTGCAGGCCCAGGAGCCCGTGGGCGCCCCCGCCGGTCCACCTAACTCAAGCCCAGTGAGCTGGCGGGGACAGGCATGACAAAGGCAGGGCAGACACAGGGAGCTGTCCTGAAGACCGGCATTGGGGCGGGCAGACGGGGCCGGTGCCCACGGAGCTTCCTTAGAGCGGGCTCACTGCTGGCAGCTGACAAAATCTCTCCTCTCCATCGCGATCTGCGTTTAAAGTCTCGGTCTCTCTTCTCCCCTGTCATCTCTCCTGTCCCTGGTTGGCCTTGTAGTCTGACCCTTTGTCTTCTGGAAGCTCTGCCGCTAAGGAAGCTAAACTGTGCGAGCTCACTTCGCAGCCTAGGAAGGTAGACCGTGCCCGTCGCTCTCGCGCTTGCCGCTTCCTGCCCTCCGTGCTCTCGCCCGAGCAGTCCGACCGCGGGGAGGACGCCCACGGCAACACTGCGCGGGCCCGGGGTGGGGGAGCGCACTCTCAGACCTCGTCACCGGCACCAGCCACGCCTCAACCACCAACTGACACGGTCCGTTGCTTCACGGACTGACACGTGGAGCCACGTAGGATGTGCCAGTGGGTGCAAGCGAACACTTGCCATGGGCCGCGGTTGGAAGCGGTCCGCGGGGCATGTCGTGCACGTCGCTACTGCAGTAGTATGCAGCATGTGGTCACCCGGCTCGCGTCGTGGCCGCTGGGACTTACGCTGTGTTTGCTGACAGGCCGAGGAGAGACACGGCAACGTTGAGGAGAGGCTGCGGCAGATGGAGGCCCAGCTGGAGGAGAAGAACCAGGAGCTGCAGCGGGTAGGTGACAGGGAGACGTGCAAGTGCCAGCGGTGCTCGGACGGCCGGGCGGCTCCCGACTCCGGTCCCCTCCCCAGTCATGCCGCGCACACACGTGGCCCGCGGCCGTGTCTGCAACTTGTCTGCTGGTAGGCGCATCTACCACCCGGGCCGTTCGTTCTCCCTCAGCATCGGCAGCAGGGGGAGAGACGGTGCCCGTGGGCAGTGCCGCAGGGGGCAGACGGGTCCCCACGTCCCCGAAGGCTGCCTGCTGCTCTGGCCTGTCAGGGAGCTGCTCCAGGTACAAGTGGGACCTTCTGGATGCCCTTCAAACTGGAGGTGCTGGCCCGCGGTCCCTCTGAAACTAGAGTAAGGCACATCAGCTGAGATATCGGGTCTGCTTGCTTAGGATATGGCACTGGAGTCCCAAAGTCAGGTCACAGGCCTGACCTTGATCCTGAAATACAGAATTACTACTCCAGACGCACAGGGGCGTGGAGGGCTGGGTATTGCTGAGCAAGAGGACAGCCGGGCTTCAGAGGTAGCGGAAAGGGCTGGAGGTCCGTATCAGGCGAACCCTTTTTCCCCTGAAGAGTCGGGGTCAGGTGGCAGTGTGGCACACCCAGGAGATAGAGCGAGTGGCAGTCCCAGGTCCAGCTGGCACCAGCCTTACGGCATCAGTGCAAGGTCATTAGATTCTTTTTTCACTGGAAATGTATATTCTTGGCCGTGGACTGCCGAGCATCACACCCGAGCTTCCAGGAAGCGGATTCCGACTTCTGTCAGGGGGCTGCGTGTGGGGCAGACCCCCGCCTCCCTGTGCGCCCACGCTCCTCTCTTAGCTATTTGCGCCTGGTTAGGGATGCATTCTGTGACTTTCAGAACTGGCTTTTGGTCCTGAAAGACAGGTGTTAGGATGGCGGTTCAGTTTATAACTGAGATGGTTCAAAGTAACTTTTAAGTTGTTTTGCTTTAAAAACGTTCATGTGCAGATTCATTGTTGTATGGCACGGTCTCCTCCAAATGGTGCTTGTGGAGTGTTGGGGATGACTCTCTGTGCTTTCTGTTTAATTCTCACACGCTTACGAGAAAAGGGGGACCCTGGCACCCACATTTCACAGAGGAGGAAACCGAAGCACGGGCGACTGTCGCCCAGGACCTTGGCGAGTCCTCATGGGCTTGCTCCCCAGCCAGGGCTCCAGCACACACCCGAGCCCCCAGCCGTGTGCCCTCCGCTAGGACAAGCCCCTGAGCACCGGCCACTGGCTTCGGTGACCGCGCTCCCGCCACCTGCCCCGTTAGCACTCCCTGTCTTCTCCACGTACCTTTTGTGTTGACGAAGGACACAGGGCGAAAACAAGCTTTTTAAACCATGAAGTTGATGGTAGTTCTATAAAACACAAATCTACATCATCTGTAGTAAATTGTTTACATTTTAAAATTTCTTAAGATAATTAGTTATAATTTTCTAATATAAGACTTTATTACTGAGAATTCAAAGTGATGCAGAAACATAAAGAAATACAGGTGAACATCTCTGCTTGCACTGATTTTTTTCCAAAGTGAACTTTTTTACCTTTTGCTCGATGGATTAAATTTGCGGCCCCCTCATCCCCAAATCCAGACCCAACCAGGCTTCTGTCTACACACAGAGCAGCTCCTCCGCCAGCATGTAGCTAAACCGATCCCCGTAGAAACAGGCTCGATCCCGCGTGTGAGCCTGTCTCCCGAGTCCATCTGACGGGGAATGGCTGCCAGCATTCCCGAGGCCCTGGGGCGCTGCATTTAGCCGAAGCAGTAGGGCCGTCTAACCCAGTGATCTCTCGAAGACACGTCCCTGTACTCCTCACCTGCGAGCTGGTTCTGGTTCTTGTGCAGCGTCCTCCACAGGTGGCGGGAGGAGCAGCCTGGGGAAGGACGGCATGTGTCATACCCTTAGTCCTTGGCACTTGTGAAATAATTATCGTACCTGTACTTGAAGTTTTTGCTAAGTTTTTGTTTCTCTCATTTCAGGCAAGGCAGAGAGAAAAAATGAATGAAGAACACAATAAACGTTTATCAGACACCGTCGACAAGCTTCTTTCAGAATCTAACGAGAGGCTTCAGCTTCACCTTAAAGAGAGGATGGCTGCTCTAGAGGATAAGGTCGGATGTCCCAGACGTCACCGAAGCTTTCCCTCCCTTTACAGAAGCACCGTGCGCGTTCTCCTGAGGAACAGTGCCTAACGGTGGTTAACAGCTGTTAGCGAAAGCAACAGTCATCCTTTCACGTGGGAAAGCACCAGCTGTCCCACTCCTGAATTACCTCGCCGTCCGTCACTCCCTTGCACGGTCGGTGCGCGTGCAAAATTGTGTGTCGTTCTCTAGAACAGGAGCCAGCGAACTGTTCCTCCAAGGACCAGATCGTAAATACTTTAGGCCTTTAGTAATTATGACTAATTAAATAAATAGTTTTATGCTAACCAGTAATTAACATGAAAGCATCCGTAGACAACACATAAATGTATTGTCGCGGCTATTTACTGGCAGAGGGCGTGGGCCGGACGTGGCCTGCGGGCCCTTGTTTGCCGGCCTCTGCACTCGGCTCTGTTAGGTCCTAGCTCTCACCCCTTCCTTGCTCTCGATTTGGAAATTAATTTGTCTCATTTTAAACAAAGCGCTGTAGGAAGGAGTGCAGTGTCATAGGAAGGATTTAAGCACCTGAAAGCAGACAGTCTCATGTCCCAAGCCCTGCCTCCTCTCTCCTCGTTTGGTTTGGAGGCCGTCTAAGCCCAGACTCCTCTGCCGTCTTCATGGGATGCTTAAGCTGCAAGCAGAGAAACGGGCGGCCTGGAGTCTGTGTCGGAGAAGCTCCAGTGGGGACAGTGGGATTCAGATTTGATAGGACCTGTCTTGTGGGCACCAGTATGCCTTGAGACAAGGCCCAGAGGTGGCATCTGGGGCCATGCTCATTCAAGGGACCAGTGATGACTGTGACTTATGTGACACAGTTGTTTCACACAAAGCCCGTTGTAAAATGCGTTATGAGAGGCCACGTGGAACAGTTACCTCACGTCTTCCTTGATCCGTGGGGCTGACCTAAGCTAGGAATATATTTACCTGAGATTTGAATTATACATTCGAAGCTTGTGTCAGGTTTCCCAGTGATGATGAATGGAAAGAGCAGGTACAAACCAGTTTAACCGATCAAATGAACTTGCACCGTGAACGTGGCTTAGTTAACGTTTAGAAAGCTGATCGAAGTAAATTTTATACGAACAGATTATTACTAAGAGTTACTCAGGCCTTGTCGGCATTTTACTCTGGACGCGTGGTATTGCTCATTAGTACATCCATGTGGCCCATCCCTTTTCTGGGATATACGCTATTATTTTAAACAGAAATGTAGCCATATTCTGTTATGTGGAACATTTTCAAGAATCAACAGTGAAGGACTGTCTATCTTTTCAGAATTCTCTACTGCGAGAAGTTGAAAATGTGAAAAAGCAATTAGAAGAAACTCAACATGATAAGGTACTTAAGTCTTTAAAGAAGCCCATCACCAGCTGAGCTGAGCTGAGCTGAGTTCAGTGTCGCTGTGTTCGCTACGGATGTTTGGTGAAGTCCACTTCAGCTTCCTTAGGCCAGCCCACAGCCGAAAGAGTCCCGGCACTGCCGCGGGTTTTGAGTGTGGCAATGTGTGCAGTTCAGAATTTGGATGTCGTTCTGAGTTCATTTGAAAGCTGAAACGTTAACATAAACCTTTTATCTAGAGCAATGCTGTCCCGCAGAAGGATGACGCGAGCCACATATGTCATCTAAAATTTTCTAGTATCCGCATTTAAGACAGCAAAAGAAACAGGCGAAATTAACTTTATTTAACCCAATATAGTCAAAATGTTATTTTCTCATGTAATTAATATAAAATTTAATGGGCTACTTTAGATTTTTTTTCTTTTTAAGTCTTTGAAATCTGCTGTGTATTTTATAGTTACGGAAAATGTCTATTTGAACTGGCCCCATTTCGACTGCTAAGTAGCTACCTCGTGGCCAGTAGCTCCTGTCTGGGACAGTACAGATCCAGAGGTGATTGGGTGACTAAAAGTTCTTCATCAGTTTTACTTACTGTAGACATAGCAGACCACGCACAGACACAGGACCAAGCGTACAGATGGTACGTGGGCGGACGCGCTCTGTGAGACAGCTGAGCACACGCAGCGGAAGGGAAATGTGCCCCCCGCCCCCCAGTTATGCTTCTCTTTACAAAGTTAGTCATTGTTAGTGGCTGGTGTTTCCTCTGGAAACTTCCTTAGGACTAAGACGTGCCCTTTTATTCACTAGGGTTTCGGAAGTTAATTTGGTCTGAGTGTGTATGCTTAGGACTCGTGGAGAAAATTTTCTCGGAATTAAAATGTTAGGTGTTCAATCTATGGCCACATCACCCTGAACAAGCCCGATCCCATCTGATCTTGGAAGCTAAGCAGGGTCGGGCCTGGTCAGTACTTGGATGGGAGACCACCTAAGAAGACCAGGTGCTGTAGGCGTAAAAATTAAAAAAGTAGGGGATCATAAGCTGACGAGGTCCTTGCAATCTGTGAAATCAACCAAGGGATGTCTTGCCTTAAAAAAAAACAAAAAAAAAACCTAGAGTGTTTATAACTGCTCACTAATCTCTTGTGGTCACGTCCAGCGTTTGAGCACGTTTGGTGTAATGATTTTAAGCCGCGAGGTTGCTGCAGTGGGCGTCACTTGCTGTTTTGTAGGATCAGCTCGTGCTGAACGTCGAAGCGCTGAGGGCTGAGCTGGACCAGATGAGGCTGCGTGGCGCTCCCCTTCACCACGGGTACGGTGCCCAGCACGTCTCAGCCCGTGTCACCGGACACAGCTCATGGTCCGGCCCCACGGAGCTTGTGGCTTAGCAGCAGGCGAGCGGGCGGAGTACCGCATCACTCCAGAGTTCTGGGTTTGGTGCCAGGGAGAGGGGGTTGTGTTGGTGACAGATGCAAAACACAGGGGGAGGTCCAGAAAATGGGGGTGATCAGTTCGTCTTTGGGTGTGTTCACATGGGGGACCCCACAGAGCATGGCACCGATGGGGTAGGGGTTGGAGGACAGGGCCCAAGGTGCCGGATGAAGCACCGCACACCTGGGAGTGAGTCATGGCGGTGATCACCGAGGGGGCCGACGTGTGCAGGGTCCTGACGTCTTGTGTTCAGTGCAGTCCTTGTCCTGAAGGTTGACGTAGTCATTTTAAAGTGTTGAAACATGACTTTGAGCAGCTGCTGTGGGTGGGTCGCCTGGCTTATCATTGTCACAGAGGCAGAGATTCTCATTGCGGGATTTAAACTTTTCTTCTGCTTCTTTGTAAAAACTCATCACACGAGGGTTAAACGCCAGCACAGGCTGTTGAAGTATTAACGGCAACGTTCACGTGTCTGCTTTTGCAAATGTCTGGAGTATCTTGTGGGTGTCTTTTCCTGCTTCTAGAAAGAAGAGAAATCAGTAAAGACAGTTACAGAGAGGCAGAACCAGAAGCCTGCCTGTCTCTGACAGCACCGGGGGCAGAACTTCAAGAGGGAGAGCCTGTGTGCTCGGAGGGGACTGGGCAGAGGGGACCGGGCGGAGGGTCAGGACAGAGATAGTCGCTTGGTTTGCCGATGAAAGTCCTGGATGGTGAAAGGCTGGCGTCACTAGCCTTGTGGTAGACACGGCAGACGTGCGTTTGATTTGCTGGGGTAAACGGATAGAGGGGAAGCAGACGTGGCGTCTGTCACTCTCTTTGGAGTTTGAGTGACGGAGGAAGGGGACCCAGCGCAGGAACTCGGATGGAGAAGCCCTGCGCTTGTTTGCCGGGCCAACGTGTGTGACGAAAAGCGAAAGGAGACAAGGGAGGAGCTGTGTGCTCTAGTCATGGCCAAGGTCACACGTGTCTGTGGTCTGGAGACAGGGCTGGAGGAGAGGCTGGATACAGAGGAAGGGTTTGCCCTAGAGATTGTGTGCCCAGTGGCTTAGAAGAGAAGCTGTGGGAGCTGTAGCAATGGGGAAGACGGGGAAGACGAGGCACGGTGGGCGTGGCTTGTGCCTTGGTGGGGAGGCGGGCCAGCTCGGCTTATTTGGCACGACCTTGCAGTGGAGTCATTTGTCTTGTTTTGTGACCCCCCTCCGGCAAGAGAGCTCCCAGAGGGAGGAGGAGGAGGAAGAGGAGGAGGCTGGTGCTGGGCTTCCTTACCTAGAGCGGACAAGGGGAAGGCGCCTCAGGCCCAGATGAGAGCGGCAAGGCCGGGGGCACTCAGCGTGGACGAGGGTATTGGAGCCCAGGGCATTGTGGGCGCAGAGGCTCCAAGAACCGTCCAAAGCCACAAGCGGAGTTTGGAGTGCACCCAGCTCGCCCCCGATTTGGAAGCGGGCAGCCTGGTTAGGAGCGAGGGCACGCAGGGCGCAGAGGGCTGGGCTAGAGGGATCCCAGGCGTGATAGGTCGCACGCGCACCACACCCAACGCGGTGCTTCAAGAAGACATCGCTCCAGGAGATGTGGAGCCGTGTGAACCCGGGCGGTGGGCTGGCACGTCACACTGGCCCTGTCTGCAGCTTGTGCGCACGGGCGCGGGGGGCGGGAACCCCTTGAACTCCTCTGATCAGATGGTGGCCTTCCTGCCCCAGATTGTGAGGACTGCTGCGGATGCAGACAGCTGCCCTTCTCTCCCAGAGAGCACGGGCTCACTAGACGGGGGCGGGGCGTGCCCACCTGTTTCTCAGCCACGCCTTCGTGGGGTGAATGGCTGCCGGCTCCCTCGTGGGTGCTCAGGCCTCAGCCAGCTGTCTCGGAGACTTCTTCAGGAGGAGTGTCTGTCAGTCTGGTTGCACACAGGTCTGGGTTTTGATTGGGAGACGTGAAAGCAAGCTGCCACATCCGGGTCCCCTGAGCTCCAGCTGTGGTCCAGAGGCTCCTGCAGTGGTCTCTGGGGCACTGAGACAGCCTGACAGGCGGAGGGGCGTGGGGACCGGGCAGACGGGGCAGTCAGGGCCGGCGGAGGTCAGCAGTGGCCTAGGCATGCTTCCTGGGCAGCCCGGGAGAACTCGGACGGCTCCAACTATTTTCTGGACGTGACGGCTGCACCCCATCTGCTCATATCCGTAGCACCCGCGTCGGTCTCCCCAGATAGGAAGGGCCCTCCTGCGGGGCAGAGGAGTAAACGTTGGCAGGGGGCAGCGCCATGCGGTTGCCATGTGCGAGTGGAAGACGTGCTCCGTCTTTCTCTGCAGCTTCTTGTCCCCCAAAATTGACAGGTTCCGGCTTGACGACAGCTCACTCTTCTCATCGTGACCTTTCCCTTTGTGTATTCCAGCCGGCCGCACTTGGGCAGCGTCCCGGACTTCCGGTTCCCCATGGCAGACGGCCCCACAGAGCCCTACAGCAGCGGCGCGGTGCTGCGGCGCCCCCAGAAAGGCCGCCTGGCTGCGCTGCGGGACGAGCCTTCCAAGGCAAGGCCCCGCCCCTCGGCGCACCCCGCCCCACCCCTCGGATTTGGACACCGGTTTGGGTTTGGAATTAAGTGTAGATAGGTCACTTGCTGTCTGCCCCTCATCCATTTTCCTTTTTCTGGCCAAGAGTTTAGTTTTAGGGTATGCTGCTTTTATCCCCGGAATGGCAGTTCTGATAAAACACGACCTGAGCGCGGCACACCGCCAGTCGGCACAGCCGTGGGCGGGGAGCGAGGGAGTACAGTGCGGTCACCCCTGAACTACGCGGGTTTGAACCGGCCAGTCAGCTTACACGCAGACTTGGCAGCTTGTAAACAGTTTACAGAAACGAGGGTATCAGTCCGTACAGTGCAGCCCTGTGAATCTGTTTTCCTGATAGCATCCTCTTTTCTCCAGCGTTATCGCGAGAATGTACGTGATCCGTGCAGCGTACAGAACACGTGCTCATCAACTATTCATGCTGTTGGGCTCCGGTCGACAGCGGGCTGCTGGTGGCTACAGTTCTGGGGAGTCAGAAATTGTGTGTGGATATTTTATTGTACTTCCCCAGCGTGTTCCTCACCCCCATGTTGTTCAGGGGTCACAGTATTCATTTAGTGAAAAGGATTCACGTTTAGGAAGGAGATCAAATGCTTTTGTACTTTTGTCTGTTTCACAGCGTGTATCTTTGTATACTTTGCTGTTTTTTGAGCAGTTGTGTTCATTGAACAGTTTGGGCCAAGTGTCATTATACACCTAGGGCTACAGCAGTGAGTGAGAAGCAGACGGAAGGCCTGCACCCCCAGCACTCACAGTGCAGTGGGGAGACACGCAGGGAGAGGCCAGCAAAACATGGCGCGCGCGCTCACTTTCTGTCGCCATGGCTGCGAGTTTCTACAAAGCCTGCAGCGGCTCAGCGATGAGCATGACTAGCTCACGGTGCTGTGCACTTCGGAGCGTGGTAGCAGGTGATTCTGGCTGGGCCTCTCGAGGTCGCAGCCGTCAGGAGGCTCAGCTGGGGCTGGACGCTGTGCCCGCCAGTTCCCGCCAGCTCCCTCACCTGGCTGTGGGTGAGAGGGCTCCGCGCCTTCCACGTAGGCTTTTGTGGGCCGCGTGCGTCTTCACGCCGTGGCAGTGGCGTCCCTCGGTGCATTCCGAGGGCGAAGGAGAAAGCCCCAGAGCCTTCAGTGCCCTGGTCTGGACGCCGCGTGCCTTCACGTCCATGGCGTTCTGTTCCTTACAGTGAATTTTTAGGTCCTGTCCCCACTCGGGAGTGCAGGGAGAAGTAGCTTCCACCTCTCAAAGGGCGGGGTGCCGAAGGATTCTTGAGCATACTTCAAAGCACCACAGAATGTTAGACGGCAATCAGCAGGGGGAGGGAGTCCGGGGTACCCCGAGCTGTAACATGAGGAGGGGAGTAATCATTTAAATTGGGTGGCCAGTGTGGTGTCACCAGGAGGGTGACCTCTGAGCAAAGACCTGAAGGAGGGAAGAGAAGTGGCCATTTGGAGATACGAAGTCGTGTCAGCAGGTGCACCGACGGCTTGGAGAGTGGATGAAACAGACGAGCCAGGTCTGCAGGGTTCAGGCTCGAGCAGCTGAAGGATGGGGTCTGTCCTGAGACGAGGGACACCAGAGCATTGGTCCTGCTCAAGTTGACAGACCTATCAGATGTCCAAGGGGATATGTTAGGTCAGACCGAAGAGAGAAGTCTCAGCTAGAGATAAAGATTTGGGGTCATGGGTGTACAGATGCCGTGTACAGCAGAAGACAAGATGAAGTCACCAAGTGGGTGCTCGTTGGTAGAGGCTGGGTAGGTCCGTGGACTCCAGGTGTCAGAGGATGGGGATCGAGAAGGGAGTGTGAGGCAGGAGGCCCAGAGAGTGTGGGGCCTGGAGCCAACGAGCCAGGCGCTTGGAGGAATGGGGAGCAGGTCAGTGGGCAGCCAAGGCGCAGGTCCAGGCCCACGGTGCTGGAGTAGTTTTCCCAGAGGGACCGTGGGTGGAACCTGCTGGTAGCGAGCGGGAGGAGAGGGAGTGGAGGCAGCTCCGGGGGGGGGGAGGGACTTGCTCCTCGTGCTGCTGTTGCCCCCTCCTGAGATTGCTCTGACAGCGTGGGAGTGGCCGCGGGCGGATGGGTAGGACCTCGCTGCGGGAGGAGGCGCATGGCCCCCACGGCATGGCTGCAGAACCCGCGTGGAGCACACCAGGGCTGCTTCCCTGGCTTCGCTCTGCTGCCCCTGTCTGTCCGTGCTCCTTGGTACCAGCCTCAGAACATGGGAGGTGGGAAACCAGTCCCTGAGCTGTAAGTCACTCAGTGACGTCAGTGAAATGGCGCGGCAGCTGCGGCGAGCCCAGCCACTGTGGACTGGACGTGTCGTCTCCCTTGCGTTAGTGTGGCTGACCGTGGCGTGGGGGTGTTGTGTCAATTTTCGATTTTTGTTTTTGCCTCTGTCGTCTACGCCTCGATCCCACTGAGACGTGACTGTCATGAGGCGTCTGAGTGGTACATTTGCTTCTTCTCCTTTTTCTCAAATCCTGTGTGCTTAACATGCCAGCAGCTGATAAGCATGGTTCATTTTTCCAGAATCTTTGGGCTTCCATTTAAAATTTTTTAAGCCTCTGTTAATTTCTTTGAGGGGCCGTAAGTGTGGGTGTTACTGTGCGTCTTCGCTGAGGCTAGGCTTTCCGATTTGCAGGTACAGACCCTCAATGAGCAGGACTGGGAACGCGCCCAGCAAGCCAGCGTCCTGGCCAACGTAGCACAGGCGTTTGAGAGTGACGCTGACGTGTCTGACGGCGAGGATGACAGGGACACTCTCTTCAGCTCAGCTGCTCTCTTGTCACCCAGTGGGCAGGCCGATGCCCAGACCCTAGCGATGATGCTGCAGGAGCAGCTGGACGCCATCAACAAAGAGATCAGGTAAACGTGGTCACACACAGCCCGCAGACACGTCAGTGGCCCTGAGAAATCCTCTCCCACTTAGAGATGTCTGGAACACACGCGAGGAGGGTTTTCTTGATGTTCTGGAATGATAAAACCTACTTTGATTCTGTTTTAAGAATTTTAAGTTCTGAAATTGCCCTCGATTATAAAACTCAGCCAGCCAGGGCATCCTCTCCGCGTGTGTGGTGTGGGCACGTTTGTGCAACATACTGTGGAGGGGCAAAAGGTTCCCGACCCCTTTCCCCAGAAGCCGAGGGCACAGCTGGGGAGCTCGGCAGGGGAGCCCAGTGTGCACCTGGGAGGCTCCCTGGGTGGCAGGTGGGGCTGCAGAGACCTTCCTAGCAATTATGCTAGTAAATTTACACAGCAAAGGGCCAGCTGTGGGATGGAACCCAGAGAATGGTCAGGGCGCTGACGGGGTCCCTAGGTGTGCGGGCACAGGGAGGAGGCCCGCCGGACTGGAGTGCAGGGGGGCAGTGGGGGCGGGATGGACGCCTCAGGGTTGGGAAGAGACCTGCGGGCCAGGCGTGCTTGGGAGTAAGGAGGAGCAGGATTCCAGTGACTTACTAGGAGAGACAGCAAAGCTCAGGCCACCAGCAAGCAAGGGTGAACACGCAATAGAAAGTGGGAGCGGCACCTCCGGCCTGAGTGTCCCCCCAGCTCAACCCCGAAGAGGGTGCGGTGCGGAGGTGGGGTCCACCTGCAGAGGGCTGATGCGTGTCCTTCAGAGCCTCACGTTCTCAGGTGTGTGTCACACGGTTGCCTGGGATAGGAAGGCTGACGTTGGGGTGGCCAGCTCCCAGTCAGACTTGGGTTTCGCTGTTTAATTAGTGTGACGGGGATATTGGTTCACTGTAGAGCTGGGAGTGGTCAAAGGATGTGTGTCGAAATCTCTTTTGTCTTATCAGTGTTTTAAAAGTGTTTTCTCCAAAAACCTTCCTAGCAATTATGCTAGTAAATTTACACAGCAAAGGGCCAGCTGTGGGATGGAACCCAGAGAATGGTCAGGGCGCTGACGGGGTCCCTAGGTGTGCGGGCACAGGGCGCAGGCCAGCGTGGGACCAGGGCACCCTGAGGTCTGCCGTGTCAGACCAATGCAGCCGCATGCCAGGGACCCCGAGGTGGGTCTGGGTAGAGCTGCTGCCACCCAGGTCTTGTTCCTGTGAGCGCAGGCAGAGATGTCCGTTCCTGCCCGCAGGGGGAAGCAGGGTTGGAGTCAGCACCAGAAACAGCTGCAGGCTTCCCACTGGAAAGTGGGTTGGGCTGCCTACGGTTTTGACTTCAGAAACTCGCTTTCCATGTGCCATGTTTAACACAGAAGAGCTCTGAAATGCTGTTTCTCCATCGTTGCGGGAAATACAGAAGGATTAGACACTTCGGCTTTTGATTTTCACCGTGCATTGTTAGGTGAAAGTGATCTTTCTTTATGCAACAAGTTGACCTGATGTAAGTGGCAGATTTTATCCACTGACTTGTTATCAATGACAAGGAAATACTTTCAGGATGTATAAGTAGAACTTTAATTGGGAAAGTTACTACAAAAATCCTATAGTTTAATATTAAAATTTGCATTGTTGGATACTCAAACTGCTGTTGGAGGGAGAATTCCAGATGCACGCAGTGTGGTTGACAAGCAGTTCGTGCGAGGCTGCGAGGGAAATCCATCAGCTGATACTTCGTTTGGTTCTTTGTGTCAGTTCCCGATTTCTCGTTGAAAAAGTTGATAGATAAAAAAAAATTGCAGCTTTTGCTTTAAGAACAGGGAATGTGAGAGCTGTGACATCCCAGCATCTCATTGTGCAGCAAGATAGCTGCCACCCTGCCCCGGCAGAACATGGTGCGTGAAAAATCCAACGCAAGTCGCCAGAAGCAGCTCTGAGACCCAGTGGAAGATGTACTTAGTGTCTTTCTCAAACCGAGTCTGTGGACAGTCGATCAGGGGGACCCTTGCTGGAGTGTTCGTCGCCTGAGCAGCTGTTACTGGAGTTTGCTGCTGCGACACAGAATGCGAGCACAGGGTTCTCGTCGCAGACGCTCGTGTGCTGGTGCAGGAAGGGTGACCCGATGGTTTATTCCAGGTTGATACAGGAGGAGAAGGAGAACACCGAGCAGCGGGCGGAGGAGATCGAGAGTCGCGTGGGCAGCGGCAGCCTGGACAGCCTTGGTCGTTTTAGATCAATGAGCGCCATCCCCCCCTACCCCGCTTCCTCGCTGGCCGGCTCCTCCCCTCCGAATAGCGGCCGGTCCACCCCACGCAGGATCCCGCACAGCCCAGCTCGGGAAGTGGACAGACTAGGTATCATGACCCTGGTAAGTATGTGCCTTCGCTCCCTGCCGTCCCCTCCCCCAGCACACCCGCGTTGAGTCTTGGACAGTGCGAATATGCAATATTTTATTTACCCAGGAGAGAATCAGGTACTCTGCATTTGTTAAGCTCAGAGGTTCAGGACTTTGAAACCAGCTAGTACTTAAGTATTCAAAAATGGCACAGTGACAAATTAATTTTAACACTTGGAGGCCCAGTTCAGCATGTCATCCTGATTTCATCAAAAGTTTTTACTTGTGTAACATTGGGAAACGTTTTAGTTTTCCAGGAGTAACAGTTTAACAAAGTGTAGCCGTCATAGTCTGCAGGGAGTCGAGGCCTGGAGGCTTCTTCCTTTACCTTAGCGGTGCCTGGTTGCAAAAAACAAAGGACCTGCAGCCAAAAAACAAAACAAAAAACCCAAACCAGCCCTCTTAATGGTGCACTTGACAGCCTGCTCCACACCAGCTCCACGTGTTTCCCAGAGAAGCGTCTGGAAACGCAGCGACCTGTGGTTTTTGGTGACAGCGTGTAGCTCTGAAGAATATAACTTGCTCACGTATTTATTTTAGGTTTTGGGAGAGCATGGTGTCAGTTGCCTCACATTACATACTTAAAACATGCTGCTTCTTAACTGCCCGTGTTTTGACTTTTCCTGTTCCCGTTCATTTTTGTCATTAGTCACATCGTTAGCCAGCATGTAATTAAATGGACCGTGCGTCATCTTAGTGGCATGTGAAGTCGTAGCTGTGTTGAGGTATTTTGACAAATTCTTTTTATAATTTACCTCATTAGTTAATTATCTGATGCTCGAAACTTCGACGGTTTCACTCGCGGTTCCTTTCAGAGAATTTGTTAAAACAGTTTTGTGCATTTTCCCCTTGTTTTCATAATTCTGCACGCCAGCTGACAGCGCGTCCGCTTCCTCACATGGTTTCGATTTCCTGCATCCCCCTTTTGTCTGTTTAATCATTGTTAATCCAGACCGCAGCCCCTCCTCCCCCCGCCCACACCGTGACCCCCGACAGCGTGCTCATGTAGCAGCGACAGCGTGGCCCAAAGTGTGTGCCTGTGTTTAATCACTGCTCATCAGTGGACTTTGTCTTCGTTTCTCGTTAAATAGTGCTTTTCCCCCTCAGTAGTGATGAATTTTAGTGTATCACCGTGTAATAGATGTGGACACAGGCATGGTTTGTATGGATCAGAGTCGCTTTACTCGGAACTATGTGGGCTGTGTGTAATTCATAAAGGAAGTGTTTCTCGTGTAAAGAAATAACACGCTAAGTGTAGAATTAATGGAATCACATCACAAATAATATGCTTTCTGGTTTCGATGTTTATATTTAAGACGTAAATTTCATCAGCTTATAGAACATGCGTAATTAATGCTTTTAATAGACTTTAAAACACACAAATTAAGAATGTAAAGAGTCCGCCTGCTATTACGCTAATTCTGATTTTTGTAAATTCTTTTATTACAGTTGACATGCAACATTTTTTAATTAGTTTCAAGTGTACTGCTAGCTTTCACATATTTTCATAAGGTGCCCTGCTTTAATCAACAAATCTCTTTTTGAGAAGTTTGAAACCAAACTCTAGGTAAGGATTTTGCGTTAATGTCCACTAGGCGATTAACCAAAGTTAATCAGTTCAGTTTTGCAGGAGGTATTGCAGTAACTTCCTTACCAGTTAGATTGATCTTTTAGAATGTGGCACGTTCTCATTAGGAAAACTAAGTAATAGGCTTGGCTTAACAGAGACAACTGGTAGGGCCCTTTGTGATGTGGAATGCTTTATTTTAATGGATCCTATTTGTCGTAATAGAATTTTATCTGCCTGGGTAATAATTTGTAGTGTTTCTCTAGTAAATCTTGAATAACTTATATTTAAACTTTGTGGTAAAAGGAAAAGTTCTATTTCCAGTTATATTTTCTCTAAATTTTACCTCACTTATATTTGTGCTGTCATTCTCTTTTTAATATATTTGCCTGTACTGATTGTTGAATTTTTAACTTCAAAGTGTGCGGTAAATCTGCTTTCTCTTCGTTTCTTTGCACGCATCTGTCAGCCTAGTGATCTAAGGAAGCATCGTAGAAAGGTAAAACACTTGGCACTTGAACATCCCTCTGTTTCTCTGTGGCGTACTGAAGAGCACCTGCCGTTTCGTACAAATGAACACTGTGAAGTTGTAACCAGTAATGACGTTGTGATGGAGTGTGGATCCTTACTCGGCACGTCTCACACTGTTCCATTGGAACAGAACTCTGGGACGAGCACAAGAATTTGCCTTTCTCGCTCCTGTTTGCCTTCTAATCTCTGGTTTTGGAAATGAGGAATTGTTGAAGCAGAGCCATAGATTTTAGATTTGGGAAAACCAGTTTTAATCCTCAGCCGGCAGCATTTAGTATGCTCTTGCTATGCCAGGCACTGTTGTGAATCCGTTACCTGATCTCATGAACAGCCTGTGAGATGCAGGTCACTGTTGTTACCCCATTTTCCAGATGTGAAAACTGAGGCCAGAGAGGCCCCACGCTGTGGCCAGGGTCGCACAGTCAGTAAACAGTGCGGCGCGGACCCATCTGATTTCGTAGCCACTTCACTGTGCTCGAGCCTTTTCTCCCGTGCTCTTGGCTCCTTCACGGCGTCCCTGGCAGGGAGTCGGGGCCTCTTCTTCTGATAGCTGGCCGCGAACCGGGCCCCGTTCTCGGAGAAGGCACAGCGCAGTGAAAAACATCTGTTGACTAGGATGTCTTCCTCCTAACTTTGGCGCCCTGGTCCAGCCTGTGCCGCCATCTAGAACCTTCCTGACCGTGCGCTCCAGCACAGCCACACAGTCAGGGAACAGTCCTGGCCTGAGCAGTTCAAGGTGGCCGGTTAGCTTCACCCTCGGGCTCGAGTCCCAGCTCCTTCACCGATTGCTTTGTGACCTGGGCCTGCCACTCGCCCTCTTGGTGACCCGGTTAGCTCTCCTGTGAGGTGAAGACACCCACAGAATCGTGCTCCTCGGGTGGCTGTGGACTGCACCTGTCCGCATCGTCCCCAAGGAGATGAGCGGCTTATGCCAGCGATGGGTGTAGCGCACCCTTCTGTCCTGCGGACTTGCGCTTGTGTTTTCCTTGGTTGCAAGGCTTTCTCAGTGAAGGACGCAGGGTGTCGCTCTACCCCGCACGGGACAGCCTGGTCCTGTCGTTCGTGGGACCTTGAGCTCGCTGACTGGCTGTTCGAGGGCCTGGCTCTGGGGTACTTGTGACGGTGAATGCAGGAGGATGTGTCGAGTGCCCGGCATGGCGCCCACACGGCCAGCCCGTGCGCACACGGTCACCTGCCCTCCTCCTCCCCGATATCCTGGGTGTGTGCCATATGCCGAGGTGACTTCCCGGCTCTCGGGGAGTTCCCCCTTTGAGTCAAGTCCGAGGTGGCCCGTGGGCACACGTCTGGGAGGCCGTCATCCTGGATGGGCGCGCTTCCTGTGGGAGGCAGTGCCGCGCGCGCACAGTTGGAGCCAGGTGGCGGCCTCAGCCAGGGAGGGGCGCACGCACTCTTCGCCTCCCAGCAGGCCAGGTGGGCCTTTGCCCTTGGAGCTGGTCTCCGTTGAGCTTATGTGCAGCTCAGCCACGTGGCTCACTCCCCTGTCCTGTTCTTTTTGTTGTTTCGTTTGTTTGTTTGTTTATTACCCATCCCTGTTTTAACCTGAATTTGAAATCCGTCCCTGAGTTTCACATCGATAATTTCTAGCCATTAGAGCCTTTTGTTGTCTGATGACTGTGATTAGAAGTCGGGAGAGGACACAGAGTCACCCAGCTGTGGCTGAAGGTCGTGTGTGGGATGCGTTCGGCTCCACTTTGCACTGATCCACCTGGTTGTCACTGGGCCGCTGGGGCCACAGTGGGTCGAGACTCTGCACAGTCCTGAGAAAAGCACGAGCTGGCCGCTCAGGTGTTATCGTCACACAGATGCTTGCGGGCGCGTTTCAGGAACCCTGAGCCCACAAAACCCGATGGGGCTCACCAGGTCCCCATGTTGTTGCCTCCACCGCCTTCCCACACTCACATCCCCGCAGACAGCAGCTGGGGTCTCGGGCTCATCGTCTAGTGACCCCACCTGGGGTGCCTTAGCTAAGCCGTCATGAACACACTGTCTCTAAACCACACAAGAGGCTGCTAACACACAACCTAACGGTTCTCAGAATCAGGCAGACGTGCGCGTTTGTGGTGGGGGCGGCTGCCTTCACTTCTGACTGTGTAGATTCTAGTAATTTGCATCGTTACTAAAAACGATACCGGATCATGGTACAAGCTGCTTCCGCCCCACCCCCGACAAAAAGCTCTGGAAGGTTATGCCAGGAGGTTTCTGTCCTTTGAATGGCACTGGCTCAGTACCAATGCGTGCCCCGCACCCCCCACCCCTCTGGCTCCTCTGTGGGGAGCGGGAAGGTCATCTGTGGTCTGTCAAGGCGTGGTCATCCTCATGGTGTCCCTTGATTGTAGAGAGGGTGGGCCCTTGGGCTCCGTGGAGCCCCAGGAGAAGGGGCGTGCCCATGTCCTGCCCAGGTCTCAGGCTCACCCGGTCAGGCTCGTGGACACCGGGCTCTGCTCCATGGTCCTGCTTCTCACAGCCAACGCCACCCTTTCAGTGGCGTTGGGCTGGACACGCGTCTGCCTCCGGCAGCGGGCGCAGCTGCTAGAGCTCCAGACGAATCTGTGCTCGTGTTGCAGCCTGTGTGATGGTTTCTGTCAGCTTATCAGGCACTGACTTTACTCTCATCTCAACCCCTCAGTTGCCAGCTTCCCGAGAAGAGGTACGAGATGACAAGACAACGATAAAATGTGAAACCTCTCCCCCTTCCTCCCCGAGGTCCCTGCGATTAGACAGGCTGCACAAAGGAGCGTTGCATACGGTCAGCCACGAGGACATCAGGGACATCAGAAAGTAAGGAGCGGGTGGCTTAGGTCCATAGCCCCATTTAGAAACATACGTATCTTTTAATTTTCAGCTTTAAGAAACTTATCTTTTCTTGGAAAAAAAGAACAGTTGATTTTAAACTGTTTTTATTAGAAAACAGTTGATTGTGTTTATTTAACTGACATCCTTGGGAGGCAGCCTCTGCCCTGGGCAGCAGCGGAGCCCAGCAAGAGGTGTGTCAGTTTGGGCAAAAAGGTTTGCAAAGGAAGGAGTTAAATGTTGCCAGCGTTTTAGAAACCTTCATTTCTTCAGATTCTACAAATTGACCGAGAACTTTCTCTTCGTTCTCGATGGAGCGTTGGCCAAGCGTGTGGCACGTGTCCAGTGGTTACTTCCCCGTGGGGCGGCAGCGCCTCAGAGCCCTGTGCCCCATGGGCGGTGGGGAGCCCTGCATCACTCCCGGTCTACTGGGTCGTCCTCAGCGATGCCCGCTCCCCCAGACTGCGGCCTGGGCGCTTTGTTCTGCGCCAGGCAGTTGCCAGAGCGCACTGCACTGGCCTTCGCGGTCACCCGAGGGGTGGTCAGAGCTGCTGGCAGGGCGGAACTCTGCCAGCTGAGAGGAGACTCTGGGGTGGAGTCAGCAGTGCCCTCTGAGCAGGGTCTGGGGCCAGGGCTTCCTGGGAAGGGGACCAAGTCAGGGAGCCGCAGCCTCCCAGGCAGCGCTCTGTTGTGGCTCCAGGGGGCGGCTCGGAGCGCCGGTGTGAAGTTTGAGGAGCAGGCATCAAAACTAGATTTCTAGGTCACGTGGAGGGGGCATCACGCGGTGAGGGCGCTTGTTCAAGGTTGTTTTCTGTCCCCAAAGCTCAACAGGCTCGCAGGACGGCCCCGTGAGCAACCCCAGCAGCAGCAACAGCAGCCAGGACTCGCTCCACAAAGCCCCCAAGAAGAAGGGCATCAAGTCGTCCATCGGCCGCCTGTTCGGCAAGAAGGAAAAGGGCCGCCCGGGGCTCGCGGGCAGGGAGGCACCGGGGGCAGGTTCGTGTCTCCCGCAGGCCTCTCGCTGCCGTGGGGAGTGGGGGGGCGGGCGTCACGCGCCTGCCTCCCCCGTGCCCCGTTCTCCGCGTGTGGGGTCCACCGTCCCAGCGGGGTGTCCCCCAGAGGCAGAAGCCTTGCAGCTTCACGGGGGGCACACACACGACCCAGAGAGCCGCGGTTAGCAGCCACTCACCTGCACGGCAGCCCCGCGTGCGCTGGAGTATTGACCGTCCCGTGAGCGTCCCGGCGGGAGGGTCGTGCAGTCAGACCCGTGGTCCGCAGACCGTTTTCGCTCGGCCTGCAGACACCCGTCCGCCCTGCCTGCTTAGGGAGCGCCGCCCGGGCCACGTCAGGTTTCCTCTCAGTGTCTCTGCCACTCTGCTTCCTCCTAGCGGGCGTCTCGGAGACGGAAAACTCGGGTCAGGATGCCTTGGGACTCAGCAAATTGGGAGGACAGGCTGAAAAAAATCGCAAACTTCAGAAAAAGTAAGCTTTTTATGATTTGTCCAGCCCCCTGAACAGTTTTCAGTTGCACCTGATTTTTATGTAACGTTCACTTACTAAATGTGCTGTCCAGCTGTGTACACGTGTGTTCTGGGAGGTTAACCGAAGCCTTTGTGAAACTACTCTCTGGAGAACTGGGCGCATCTGTGCGGTTTTGAAAGGACCGACGTGTGGCTTCCCGTCCGCCTTGGAAAGCCGCGTGATGAGTGCGTGCCGTGGCTGCGTCGGGTTCGGCACCCTGGCGCCCGCGCGGGGCTCTGGGGCGCTGGGAAGCTCCCTTAGAATCTCTGTGCGTCCGCGTTCTCAACTGTAAACAGAGGCACCCGCCATCCGCGCCTCGTGTGGCTCTCGGGTATCAGCTTCGTACACACATGTGCACAGCCACGCGGGAGAGGCCAGTGACTGTGCACAGCCGTGGCCACTGCGGCGATGTGTGTGCCATCGCGCAGACTGGGCCATCACACCAGAGCGCCAACAGGAAACACTCACTGTTGCCTTTTGTCTCTCCAGCAGGTTTCGTCTTTTTTTTTTTTTTTTTTTTTTGTCTTAGGTAGACTCTTAATTTTGTAATCTGTTTGTTAAGTTCTAATTCTGAATCGCCCCGATTCTGAACATAAGTCGTTACTGTGGAGCAGTTTTCTGTGGAGGGCCCAAGCGTGTGATGCCCGGGGCACAGGGGGACCATGGGCGCGCAGTTCTCGGGGACTTTTCTCGACCTGGGGTATTGGTTGACCACGTCCCAAAGCCGAGATAAGTAGCTGGGCAGGTGGAGGTGCTGGTGAGACTCAGGATACCGGGCCTTGCCGACAGTGCAACTGGTGGCTTCTGCGATCTGATGATGGCAAAAGTCATCTGGCCACTCGAGTGCCCTGAGAAACCAGCGCTGGTCTGGACCCTGGACCCCAGGCACCGGCCGCGGGGTCACGCCGGAGCCCGTGGCAACCCTGTCCACGAGCAGCCCCTTCACCATTCGTCCTCGGAGTTGCCAGTTGGTTTTTTTTAATGAAATGTGCCTCATTTTAGTTCTCTTTTTTAAAAACCATCATTATCTTGACTGGCACACTATTGATAGTGTTTCAAGTGAAATTTTGTTATCTGTCATTGCTCACAATACCGTAGGAATTGTAGATGGAAGTCTGTAGAACACACTTAACAACATCTGATTTGAAGTCGCTATCTGCGAACTGTATAAAAATGTCACAAAATAATCTGGGTAGTTGCCATTTGGTTCTGTGACACTTAATATTAGAACTAGGCTTTTCGCCTCCTGGAACCGTGCTGGGAAGATTTTGTGCCTTAGATTTTGCCGATACGTTTCATTTTACATCCTCAAACTTACTGTGATAAAAACAGCCAGGTCTGTGGCAGTGCACCTTGGTCCCTGTGGTCCCGGAAGTGTGTGTGTCACGTGGGATCACAGACTGTATAAACTGGCCAAAAGGTTTCACTCCGGTTTTGAAATTTATTTTGTAATTCTGTGGAGGTACGTGTGCTCGATCACTTGGCTGTGTGAGGACAGCCTTTGCCGTGTGTGTGGCCCTGCAGGTGGCTGGGTTTCACACTGGGGTGTGCGTGGGTACGTGTGTCAGTGTTGATGGTAGATGTGTCCCTGGAGCTGTGAGGTTCAGGTGGGCGGCACCGGCTCTGAACTTGTAACCGCATGTTACTGCAGCTGTGACCGAGTGCCTGAGAGTGGTCGTCTGACTCTGTGGTCATGCACGGCTGGTTCTGGAATGTGCTACTGAGTCGACAAGGAATTTCAAAGTGCGAAGGTTATTCGTCTGACTACAGTGGACGATTTTGGTTGTCAGTTAACCAGAGAGAACGTTGTCTTTAGGAAAAATGCTTTTTTATAAATGTGAAAAAATGTTTAACTTATCCAGAAAAGGTTTTGTTCGAATACACTGGAACATTTATGGTATTATAGATTCAAGATACATTTCTCAGAAATGGTCTCTTTATTAACCTGTTTATCTCAAAGGTGTTCCTTTAACTGCCAGAGTTGCACAGCCAATTGCATTCAGTTTTCGAGAATGTTTAAGAACCTAGTGAATTTGGCGGAGGATTGATTTTCAGGTTTGGTGCTTGGTGTGCTTCGTGAGTGCGTGGGGGACACGGCCGTGGTGAAGTCGGGCGGCACTGCTGTCCGTCAGGGTTGGCGGTGTGTCTGCGGTGTTTGTAGGATCTCGACAGCGTTTGAGCGCAGCCGAATCCCTGTTCTCCACGCTCCCTGCCCGTCTCCACTCATGCGGTGTCCCCTGCGGAGTGCGCTGAGACCCGCCAGGGAGCCGGGGCCTGCGCACCTCCGGACAAGGCTTCACGGTGTCCAGCATCCTCAGAACGTGGAGGCTGTCGTGGGGGCGCTGCCGCCTCCGTCGTGTTTGGTCAGCGAACGCTCATGCAAGCGTCTCGTCAGGGGAGGCTCGTCTCTCCTCGTGCTTGTGTCCTCGTTGCAAAGTGCGTGTCATTCGTCATTCACAGACGACACGGCCTTTCTCCCTTTCATGTGCCTGTCCCCCATAGACTCTGGCATCTTTCTCAGTGTCCTCCTCCTCCGATTCAGGGCCGGGGAGCACGTGTGGCGCTTCGCTGTTAGACCGCTGCTTTAACGGTCACCCCTGGGTCCACAGTCGGTCCGTGAGGGAGAAAGTCGGTCCCACCTAGGCCCGCACTGCGCGCCTTGACCACGTGGCCACCGCACACCTCCGTTCGACTCTGCGAGGAGGCAGCGCCTCTGAAAACAGGTCGTGGCTCGTAAGGGGGGCAAAGTGACAGCACAGCAGCCTCTTCGCAGGGGAAGGGAAGAACAGCTGAGACCAGGCGGGGGTGCACAGCCCGTCCCCAGGGTGCGGCCCTGCAGCTCTGCCGCTCCGGGGGGTTCGGGGTGCAGAGATGGTCTGGCACTCAGACGCCTGCCGCCTTGGTCCTCGCGTCGCAGGCTTGGGAGCTGGTGGCCGGAGGAGCTCGTTTTCTGCAAGGCGGGCCTCGTGCTCTCACGGCCGTTGCCGCGGGCTAGGTGAGCACCCGCCCCGTTCCTCCAGCAGCTGCGGCCGGCCAGTGGCAGGTGCTCACGCAGGTGAGTGGGTGAGGCCCCGAAGCTGTCGTCTATGCCGGTCGCACAGGAGGGGCATTGGCTCTGCGTCAGGCCAGTCCGTGTAGCAGGCAAAACAAGTGTGATTCCTGGACGAAGCGAGGAAGGGGTGTGACGGGACCGCGGAGGCCCCTCTCTGGCCTGCGCGCCTCCGGCCTCCAGGTTGTCTTTCCCTCCCAGCCGGGTCCCCTCCACCTCCTCACCACTCTCCCGCGTCTCGCCGTGTCGTCCGGCCTCTAGTGTCTCATCCCAGTTTCCCTGGGACCCTGGGCCCGCGCTCTGAAATCCAGAAGTCCGCGTGCACTAGGACGGTTCTTGTGCACAGGAACGCCCGCCGCTCGTAAAGCCAGAAGGACGTGCGCCCGTGTCCACTGACAAAACTAAGGCCAATTCCAACCCAGTGTTCCTTACGTACAGTGAATCGCCATTTCATATTAAGAATGACGTCTCTGGCAAAGCGCCTGTAGGGCGCTCTGCGGCGCACAGAGGGTCTGAGAAGCCTCCCGGCCGGGCCGGGCCACTCAGGATTGAGCGCTCCCCCGCCCGTCAGACCAGGGCCTCCCCGGTCAGCCGGCCACGGAGTTTGTGCTGCTCCTGTGGCGTACAAGGCTCCTGCGAGTGTGGTACACACAGCTGTTGTCCTCGAGGAGACTTTGTCCTTAGGAAACGAGGTAGCGTTTAACTAGCGCAGGGATGGGTCATCCCACCCAGCGAGGCCCTTCCGCCCCCTCGCTCTGCCCCGCGTCGCTGTCCCGAGTCCGTGCGGGCACAGTTCTGGGTGGGCTCGGTTTCTTCTTCATGTACAAGAGGCTTTGCTAATTTTGAATGGGAAAGTTTGCTCTTTTTTTAATACTCTACTTGAGCTGTTAAGATATTCGCTACAATGTTACCATCACTGGTACGATTCTTCCTAGATGATTAGAACATTTTCAGGTGACCTAAGGTTGACTTACAGAACACTTATTTGAAATTTTATGTGACCATTGTGATCTTTAATTGTATGTAGACTTCGTAGTCTTCAGAAAAGTCTAATGCTGTGAATTAGACTTGAAGATCTGTTACGTATCTTTAGAAATAAAAGACTTAGCGATATGTTCTGTAGACGTTATTACAGAAAAGTGACTGAAAATGACCTAGGAATTTAAAAATGACTCAGGGGTGTCTAGGCAGGTGACGTAAGGGACCTGTCCTCAGCTCAGTCCCGTTTTCCAGGCTTTTCATTTTTAAAAAGAGTTCGTGCTTTTTAGAAAGCCTCGAGGCACACAACGCGAAGCGCGATCAGGCCGACGAGGCCGACGAGGCTGGTCGCGCTGCCTCTCACGCCACTGACTGCACTTTCAGCCGCCGGAGCCATTGTGCAAGCTGTTCCTGGGGTGTAAGGCATGGTTTGGGTATCTACAGTCAGGCATACGGAATCTCTGGCCCTGGGGAGCCCAGGACCCGTCCCCACGCGCTGCCCTGTGCTGCCTGGCACGGCAGACGTCGGTGGGATTGAAGTCGGCTGCAGAGCCTGTGGGGTACAGCACGGGACGACCCGGCGTCATCATTTAACAAGGACCTTGTTGGCTACGTAGCAACTAGAGTAGCACTAGCCGGAATCCAAGCCACCGCTGATCCTGAGGCCGCAGTCGCTGTTGGCAACCGCACGGTTGGAGCGGGACGCCTTGGAAGCTCGCTCAGAGGCGGCCCCCTCGTTCCCACCCAGGCACGTGTCCTCTGCCTTCGTCCCTCTCCCCCGGCTTAGAAGGGAGAGCGAGCCTGCCCTGGGTGTGAAGACCGCCGGGGTCGTTCGAGCTGCTGGTAATTCTTTAATCCCGCAAGCAGAGGGTTCCTCAGAGGCTCGTGACGAGTCGGTCCGCGCTGCAGCTCCAGACATTCTTTGTGTCACAGGCCGCAGCGGCATTCAGCAGATGGGCGGCAGGTGGCAGGAGACTGATGAGAACGTGCCCATGCGTTCTGCTCACTTGTGTTACGTGTGCGTGTGACAGGCGTCCTGACTCCTGCACGTCTCATTTGCAGGCACGAGCTGCTCGAGGAAGCCCGCAGACAAGGTCTACCTTTTGCACAGTGGGACGGGCCGACCGTTGTCGTCTGGCTGGAGGTATGGCCTTCTTTTCATCCCGGTTTAAATATGTTCCAGGTGTGACAGTCTGTCTGTTTCCTACGCTGAGCCTAACCTCTGGCCTCCCCACTTCCTGTCTCCAGCTCTGGGTGGGGATGCCGGCCTGGTACGTGGCCGCTTGCCGGGCCAATGTGAAAAGCGGGGCCATCATGTCCGCCCTGTCGGACACGGAGATCCAGCGGGAGATCGGCATCAGCAACCCTCTGCACCGGCTGAAGCTGCGGCTGGCCATCCAGGAGATCATGTCCCTGACCAGCCCGTCGGCGCCCCCCACGTCCAGAACGGTACGTTCCCATCCAGAGCGCTGCCGCTTTCAGAAGCGCGCAGGCGCCTTTGCAGGGGGTGCTGCCCGCCCGCGGTGGTCCCCCGTCCTTGTTCACACAGCCAGTGTTCCAGGGTGAAGTGGTGGCGTTCAGAACACTGTGGCTTTGAATTTGTGACGCTGGGGATTAAAAGAGCCTTTACTGAATGTTTATAACAGCGTGGCTACAGCGGCGCTATAATGTAGAAGTAGGAGTTTTTGAAAAGTAATTATCGCCTTTAAGTATCGATTTATGAAAAGCGAGGGGACAAAGCTTGGCAGCCCCAGTGGATTGTAGCCAGTGCTTTGCTGTTGGCTTATTCAGCCTGTCGCTGCTTCCCACTGGGGGGCTGGAGGCCCTGGGGCGCAGGTCTTATGCAGTCCACGAGTCTGCACATGCACAGCAAGCCGGCCTGTGCTCGGCCTGTGCTCGGACAGTGCCGTCCCCCGGGGGCTGACCGCGCAAGTCCTTAAAAAGGGCCCTCCTTGTGGGAAAAGTGCAAAACGGTAACACTGGGGGAGGAGGCGGGCCCTGCTTCCCACTGGGGGGCTGGAGGCCCTGGGGCGCAGGTCTTATGCAGTCCACGAGTCTGCACATGCACAGCAAGCCGGCCTGTGCTCGGCCTGTGCTCGGACAGTGCCGTCCCCCGGGGGCTGACCGCGCAAGTCCTTAAAAAGGGCCCTCCTTGTGGGAAAAGTGCAAAACGGTAACACTGGGGGAGGAGGCGGGCCGCCCGCTTCCCCGCGCTTCCCCACGCCCCCCCCCCCAGCACCTTCCGTGGCTCCGGGAGAAGCCGGGCGGGAATCGCAGAGCCGCACATGCTTCTGCCTCTGCGCGTTGGCCCAGCGCCTGCCGCGGGCTCACAGCCGCGCCCCGCGCCGGGCGTCCAGGGCGCTCGGTCGGCTCGTTTCCTTTGGTTTCTTAGTGAGAGGTTCGCGTCCTCACCCACTGCCCAGACGCACTTCCCCCGGCAGAGTGCTGTGTCCCAGGCTCTGACCTGGTGCCTGCTCCCCAGCGGTTTCCCATCGGAGGGGCCTTTCCAGAAGCGAAGGTGCTGGGGCCGTTTCCCTGCAGTTTTAGTAGACTTAGTAGACGGTCTTGAAGGCCGCTTCTTGCTGAGTGGTGCTGAGGCGCCAGCCTCGCGGAGTGCGCAGGGTGCGGCCTGTCTCAGGCCATGCTCCTGCACCCGCCCAGCACCCGCCCAGCGCCACTCCCCGCCTCTTCTGTCCCGGCCGAGAGGCCCTGTCACGGTGGGACACCTGCCGAGAATCGTCTCCCCGTGAGCCAGGGCTAGACTTTGTGCGTGCTCTCCGTCGTGCTGTCTGCAGAAGGCCGTGCTAAAGACCTGGGGTCGGCAGTCGCCCGAGAGTGACAGTTTTCTAGGAGTGCGCCACGTTCCCTCCACTTTAGAGCTCGCATATGAGATCAGGTGCTGAGCATGGCAGAGAAAGCTCTAGAAGCTGGGCCGTTCTCTGGGTGCTGCTGGCAGCGCAGTGTTGCTAAGGCGTGGTTATTCTCTGAGAGGGGACAGCCTGTGCTGGTGTCTCGTTTTCTATACGGCACCTCAAATGACGGTGAAGAGACGGCCTTGGCCTCCAGCTGCTCCTTCATGTACCTGTGGCTTACGTGTCTGCCACCTTTCCTCTTTGTCACTGCTCCCTCGCTCTGGATGTGGTTGGTCACTGGGGTCGCCCTAGACCACAGGAAATGTCTGGTTAACGCACGAGGAGATGGAGACGCTCACAGCCACGCCACAGACGGTCAGTCACGGCCCGAGCTCGTCCCCTCAGCGCGCTCCCACCTGCGAGCCGCCCGATTCTTGGCCTTTTTGTGGAAAACAAAATTGTCATTTTACAGTAAATTGTTCCAGATAAGTACTTCCTTTAGGTGTCCTTTACGTGTGTAAAATAGAATTCCTGTTTTATCTCATGTTAGATTTTTGTCAGGAACTTAACGTGGTAGACTGGCTCTACGTAGAATAGACTGGACTCTTCCCGCCCCCCCGCCCGCCCCCCCGGGAGACCTGCACTT